GGGTCGGGTTCGGGTCGGATAGTACTATACCCGAACCCGACCCGACTTTTAAAACCGAAACCCGAACCCGACCCGAAACCCGACATTCTAAGTCAAAAACCCGACCCGACCCAAACCCGGCATTTCAATCCAAAACCCGAACCCGACCCGAACCCGACTTTTAACCAATAATCAATTCGACGTACCCCAATAATTTTAAAAGGATTAAATCTAATTTTTTTGTGTCTCTTTTTTGTGTCTCATTTTTTATTAAGAATTATAAAAAATGATTAAAAAAACCATACTTGATTTAGTAGCACTTTGTCAAGAGATTATACGAAGTGCTAATTATATCCATAGATAGGCTTTTATGTTATTAAATATTCGGGTTTGAGTCGGGTCGGGTGCGGGTTCGGGTCGGGTCGGGTAAAATTATAAACTCACACCCGACCCGACCCGAAGTCGGGTTCGGGTAAAAAAATTCGGGTCGGGTTCGGATATTTTAGTGCTCGGTCGGGTCGGTTAAGCTCGGGTTCGGGTTGAATTGTCATCCCTAGGCTGATGACTTTACTTGCTTTGGGCTCCAATAATAGTCCTTCCCAATAGTCGACCGTTAATACGGCCAGCTACGACGTTTCGAACGCCGGAGGATCGGGACTGGAGCGATCCAAACTCTCTAAGCCTTGTTCATACATGACAAGCGGGGGTGGACAGTCTATCGACCTCAAAGCCACGGGGGACGAGTTTGCCCCGCTCTCGGGTGAGAAACCCAACCGCCAGACTCGCCTGATGGGGGCGAAGGCGGCAAAGAACTCTCTATGCCCTTGACTTTTGATTGCAACAACTTCAGGGTACTCATGACAACGGATATGTCGGGGATGTCAGAGTTGCAACTGAAGACGCACAATGAAAAGTTGCCAGCGGCTCGTGCCATGATCGATAGGGCAAATAAGTAGTCTTTTTCTAAGCACTTTTTTAGCTTAATTTTCCATTTTTTAGTATTTGTAATTTTAATTCCAATGTTAAGCATGTTTAATTTCTCTTTTTTTATTAATTTTACGTGGTATTCGCTTTTTTTATTTTTTTAATATTTTATTTCTTACCAACCTTTTTATTCTTTTAATATTCATCTATTTTTATTAATAAATATTTTTTTGTTAAATTTATTAAAATTTTGAATGAAAAATGATGAATAATGTAAAACAAATAAAAAGACAGTGCAAGAGGACGATAGCATTTCAAGTGTTTTGGGGCGAGACTAAAAATCAGTAGAATTCTAATGTGGCCGTCTGGCATACAATGGGTCGGGATGAGAGTTTGCCCCATTGTAAATGCACTAAATGCTCCAAAACTACAATGATATGGTTGTATCAACTATACCCACCTTCACTAAAATTGTGCAACTTTGTTACACTAATACCTTCATGTAGTTTGGTAAATGTGCACCGTTACTCTTAATGGTTTCAAAATTAACATTGTTGCCCCTTGTAGTTCTGGTATTCTTACGCTAATGTCACTCTAGACTAAAATATCTTTTCAAATCATAGGTCAATATATTCGAACCCCGAAGAGTGCCCCTATAGTTTTGGGAATGGGCACCATTGCTCCCCTCTTTTTTCTTAATTGTTTTTCTTTTTTCTTCTCTTTTTTTTATAAATATTTTTTAAGTTTTTTTCAAAACTATTTTTTATAATATTTTTGTAATCAAAGTTTTTGTGTTTGAAATATAAAATCCATCAAATAAAAACATTTCATCTATCTCAAATTAAATATTTTCATTTTTTGTCCAAAAGAGATCCTTGTTTGTTAATTTTAATGATACAAAAATCAATGAAAAATTTTTCTCTTTTTTCTTTGAAGGTCATTTCTCATTTTCTGTTTATTTTCTCCTTTTTTCTCTTTTTAATTTAAAAAATTAATTTTATATGGTTTTGTTTATTTTGATCAAAATTAAAATAAAAGAAAAAAGAATAGAGAAGAAAATGAAAAAAAAAGTATATGACGAAATACTTCAATCGAATCAGGAAAGTTAAATATTGAAGAAAATATGTTGCGCATCGATCAAAAAATGTTATGAATATATATAATTAACGAAATCTATAAAGACTTTACTCTGTATCTTTCTTGTCTCAAAAGATTTTAAAAATAAGAATTTTTTTTAGACAAACAATAAAAATATTTAATTCGAGACAAATGAAGTATATGTTAAATTTTTCATTTCAAATACATTCCATTTTTATTTTTTAAAAGCTGTAAAAAAAATAGTTTTGAAAAACACCTTTTAGTTATTTCAAAAACACACATTTTTTTCTTTATGAAAAAGAGAAAAAAAAGAGAAATAACAAAAAAGAAGGAGAGGGGGCGTTGGTGCCCATTTTCAAAATCGTAGGGGGAGCGGATCAATTTATCTAGTATTTAAAGGATATTTCAATTTAGAGGAACATTGACGTAGGAATATCAGAATCATAAGGAATAAAATGATGCTTACATGGTCTCAAAGCCCACATTGAAAATGTAGTCATTCTGACATTTTCATGGGTGATGGGCCGATACCCAGTGGGTGGCCCAAATTAACCATTTACGCAACTTCGGGTCAAGCACTTGGGAAACACCCAGGCCTGGGCCGGCCCATGGAGCTAGGCCCGGTTAACTTCGGGCCAAGGGTAGCTGGCAGAGTCAATCCGGAGAGCAAGACGGAGCAGATTGGCGGTTACGGAGCCGGGAAAAGGGGATCGCGCCATTGGTGGGATAGACTCCACAGATTATGTGTTACCTTAATTGTGAAAAGCTCCTGTATAAATAGAAGAGACCCGAAAGGGGAGAATTGAAGCTAGATCAAGCTAATAATACATACCCAGTTCTCGAATTCCCATTTTTAATTTTGTTCTTACGATCCGCTTTTTGAATCGGGTCATTTGGTGGATTTATTGTCCATCAAATTGGTGCTCTCGTTGAGAGTTCGAGAATCATACTCAGAGGAAATCCTCCACAAAGACGATGGTGCAAACACGCAGCAACGCCAATGTAGGTACCGGAGTTCCCCAACAGGGGGAGAACAGCGCCACTGGAGGCCGGCACCCCCCCATCACCACGGGGGAGGCTGAGGCCCTCATCCGGCACCCCCCATCACCACGGGGGAGGCTGAGGCCCTCATCCAGGGGGAGAACAGCGCCACTGGCTGCACTCACACCCAATCGCGAGATTGTGGTAGAAGATGTGGCTGGGGACCCACAGGCGGGAAGGCTGGACCTGCGGGCTCCCAAGGGAAAAAGAAGAAAGTAAGGTGGTCCCAGAAGAAGAAGGCGACCAAGCCTAATGGGAAGGCTGTGATGGCAGATGCGCTTTCCAAACTGGACGAAGAGGACGAGTCGTCCTCCTTCGAGCGGATGTCTGCTTTTGATCGTTTGGGAGACCCCAAGTCAAAGAAACCTCGGACCTCTGCGTTCGAACGGTTGCAGGACACTCGGTCGGCCCGAAAAGGCGATTTAAGGGACACGCTGAAGGAGAAGAGAGGGGAGTCCACAGCGACCTCCAAGATCGGTTCAGAGGAGCGACGGGCGACAGTCGGGGACAAGGGCGCAGCCGAGCTGTGGAGAATGTACGAACGACTAGAGAAGCGGCTGGACGCCCAGAACCCCTACCGCCAGGCGGTCTTCAGTGAGGTAACGCCCTTCTCCAGAAGGATAATGTCTTGTCCTCTCCCGGATAATTTCAAGACTCCCCAGATCAAAGCGTACAACGGGACAACCGATCCCCAGGATCACCTCGCTCGCTTCAGGGCAAACGTGGTCATGTATGCATACCCCGAAGAAATCAAGTGTCGGTGTTTCCTGGCGACACTAGAAGGGCAGGCTTGTGAGTGGTTCCACAAGTTACCCAAAGGTTCGATAGATGTAGTTTTTAAATATATATGTTTTCTTAATTGTTTTTCTTTTTTCTTTTCTTTTTTTATAAATATTTTTTAAGTTTTTTTCAAAACTATTTTTTATAATATTTTTGTAATCAGAGTTTTTGTGTTTGAAATATAAAATCCATCAAATAAAAAGATGTTATGTACATTTCATCTATCTCAAATTAAATATTTTCATTTTTTGTCCAAAAGAGATCATTGTTTGTTAATTTTAATGATACAAAAATCAATGAAAATTTTTTCTCTTTTTTCTTTGAAGGTCATTTCTCATTTTCTGTTTATTTTATCCTTTTTTCTCTTTTTAATTTAAAAAATTAATTTTATAAGGTTTTGTTTATTTTGATCAAAATTAAAATAAAAGAAAAAAGAATAGAGAAGAAAATGAAAAAAAAGTATATGACGAAATACTTCAATAGAATCAGGAAAGTTAAATATTGAAGAAAATATGTTGTGCATCGATTAAAAAAATGTTATGAATATATATAATTAACGAAATCTATAAAGACTTTACTCTGTATTTTTCTTGTCTCAAAAGATTTTAAAAATAAGAACTTTTTTTAGACAAACAATAAAAATATTTAATTCGAGACAAATGAATTATATGTTAAATTTTTCATTTCAAATACATTCCATTTTTATTTTTTAAAAGTTGTAAAGAAATAGTTTTGAACAACACCTTTTACTTATTTCAAAAACACACATTTTTTTCTTTATGAAAAAGAGAAAAAAAAGAGAAATAACAAAAAAGAATGAGAGGGGGCGTTGGTGCCCATTTTCAAAATCGTAAGGGCAGCAGATCAATTTATCTAGTATTTAAAGGGTATTTCAATCTAGAGGAACATTGACGTAGGAATATCAGAATCATAAGGAATAAAGTGATGCTTAAATGGTCTCAAAGCCCACATTTAAAATGTAGTCATTCTGACATTTTCATGGGCTTTCATGTAAATATTTTCTAAGTGAAATTTGCACTAAATAGGACTAAAACATAATGACTTTCTTAATATAGGACTTAAACTTTTTTATTCCATAAATAGGACTTAATAATGACCTAGTGGGAAGAATAATGTCCAATAATGATAGACATTTACTTGAATAATGACTACTTGATAATGACCAAAGGTCCTATATTGGGAAATAAAAACATATGGTCTTATATTGGGAAAGTCATTATGTTTTAGTCCTATTTAGATAAATTAAATTTCTCATTTTCTAATTTGAAAAAGGCCCACTTATTTTAGGCTATATATATATATATACACTAAGATCCATAAAATGAGGATGGACCTTAGGTCCATGAAAGAATTTACTTATGTGATAATGACATAAGTTTTGAAACCATGAGAAGTATCGGTGTACATTTACTAAATCACGGGGAGTATTAGTGTAATAAACTCAAAATTGTATCGTAGAGTTGTTGATATTAAGAGCATAGCCAGCGGCGAGGCATTTTTTCACCTCGTTGTGCCACATCATCTGATACCTTCATCTATTTTTTCAAAAAGGGGTACATCTATTTTTTAAAAAGATAAATGAAATAATGTTAAATAATTAAAACTACATGACATGTCATTCCACTCACTTGCCACATACTGACTAAGTTATTTTTTATTAGTTGAAACGTACCACGTGAACGTGTGGTATTCCATTTAGTTACCTGCCAATGCCCGTGTTCTAACTTTTAAATAAAAAGATCTCCTTGGATAGGAGAAAAAAAATTTGAAAAATACCAAAATAGAAGCCTTAAATCTTTTAGGACTAAAATAGAAGTATAATGACAGTGTAGTGTAAGAGTACGCGTTGTAGTATGATGGAAAAATGATGACGGTGTGATCTTTCAACCGTCGGTGACCTGCGGTGGGCGGTGTCACTTTGGTGGCTGACGACAATAGATGGTAGTGTGGCGGTGATAGTGTGCCAATTACAATGTGAAAATGTGGTAGTGTGGCCGTGTAGGAATGAGAATGTGAACTCTTTTTTTAGTTTTAAAAGACTATTTTGATATTTTTTCGTTCTTATTTGGAGTTAGGGTGGGCGTGAAATCCGTTCCCGTTAGACCGTTCCAAAAAATCCCAAATCCGTTTTGTAATTGTACCAAATAATTAGGACACAATTTTTTATATCCCAAACCCGTTCCGTCCCATTATCAAATGGGACATGAGCGGGACAACTTAAATTTATACCGATCCGTCCCGTTTGTCCCGTTTTATATACTTTATTAATATATAATTCTATTCTTTAATTAATTAAGTTAACTTCAAGTTTCAATCCAAAATTTATTAAATTTATTTGGTCCAAACTCCAAACTGTCCAAAGTCCAGACTCCAGAGCCTAATTTCGTCCCATTATTAACCTAATTCACTTTTAAAGTTTTAATACATAGCCTGCTTCCTCAATTGATTCCTCGGTTTGCATACCTAAAGCATCTGTAAGTTCGAATTTGCCTTGAATTGTTTACTTCCCTTTAGTTTTTCAGTACTTAAAAGTTTAAACAATGGAATTTCTAATGTTTAAATAACTAGATTAGACTAGATTGCTAAATATTAAATTATTTTAATAACTTTTGTTGAATTATTAAATTAGGATTAGGACAAAGTAGGACAACCCGAATCCGTCCCGATTTGTTCCGATCCCGAATTTTATGGGACAAACCGGGATAAGATTATAATCCGAACCGTTCCGGATCGTTTATATATAACGGGACAAGACGCGGAACAACCTAAATCTGGACCGTCTCGATCCGTGCCCACCCCTAATTTGGAGAGTTTTGGCCATAATAAAAAAAGAGATAACGAGTGTCTTATAATTTAGGGTCAACCCGTCATTAACCATCTCCAATTTCCTTTGTTTGTACTTTGCAGGAGATCGCCGTCCTACACTACCAAACATCCACGGCATCGCGGTCATAATACGTCGGCGCCTTCCGCCATGGTAGTGAATTTCTTACTTTATCTCTTCAACGTTTTACCAATTTGCCTTTACATGTGTTCTCGCATTCCTCTCTCCTATTTTTTTCTTAGATCTGTTAAGCTCAAGCGCACTACTTTGTTCTGTTCCTCCATCGTTTTGTCAATTCTGCGGTCCTAATTCATGAAAACATGATTTGAGCTTAATTTCAATGTGTGAAAGCTGTGCGGTATGATTTCTCTTGATATCGGAATTGAATATCTTGTTAACCAAGAACTAAATGCAAAATTGATCTTTTTTCAAAAAAAAAAATGCAGAATTGATCTCAAATCAGTGCTTAAAAACAGCTTGGACGTAACAAGTTGACGTTTTGGATGGAATGCTTTTATGCTTAAGCTTTTCAAAATTGTAATATCATATACTCCCTCCGTCGAAAAAATTTCTTCCCGTTCATTATTGGTATGGTTAAATCTTATTCACTTTGTTGGCCTATTTTTGTTGCCCATTTGATAAAATAATATAGTCATGTCACCTCTAGTTTTGTATAAAATGATTTGAAAACAATTTATATCGTTTTTAAATATGTGATTTTTTTATTCCAAGTTATTTTTCGTATAAATTTATTTGAAAATAACATCAGTCAAACATCGTAATACGCAACGCGAGTATCCTCTTTGTGTATGAATGGGTGAGAAATGCATATGTTATGATAGGAAGCCGTAGACACAAACTGGTGTAAGAGCCCGTTCTATTCACCTTAATTTAACTAGGACTCTTGTTGCAGTGATAATTAACTTAATCAGAACTGGAGTGTGGATAACTAGAGTTAAAAGTTGAGGAGAGCCAGCCTTAAGTCAAGAGGTTGACATTAGGATTATTAGATTCGACAAGTTTCAGAGAGAATGCTGATTGGTCTTAGGACTTGGAAGAAGTCCAGCAACCTCTTAAAGTTAATGATTGTTAGTTTGATGAAGCATAATCCTCCTTCTAAAGGTTCCTTGGACATTCTTTTGGAAACGATAAGAAGAACGTGGTAGGTTTATTCATAAGATTGAGTGCCATAATTTGGATTGGTTAAATCTGTAGTATGTGCAAATGAGTGCAGGATATGTATATTCGCGTTAAGCGGGATAAGACAACCTACTTCATCCAGTGTCAACCAACTGAGACAATTGAACAAATTAAGGGTAAATTGCATGCTCTTACAGAACATCCCATAAAAGATCAGCGCCTGATTCTATTGGAAACTGGGGGGATTTTGGATGATGCAAAGACATTGGCAGATCAGAAGGTAAATTTCCATTTGATTTTTAGTCCATGATATAGCCTTTAAAATTTCAAGTAAAATAGTTTCCCTCTTCTCCACTTCGTTTACAGGTTTGCATTTTTGGCCTTATGTCACATGCTTTCTTTATTGAGAATTTAACTCTTCTTTGACCGTATGCTATTTGTGTTACTTGAGCTAGAGGTCTCTTGGAAACAATCTCCCTACTTTTGAGTAGGGGTAAGGTCTACGTACACCCATCCTTCCCAGACCCTACTCTCGTGGGATTCAACTGAGTTGTTGTTGTTGTTGTGTTACTCATTTTTTTAAAAAACCATATGCCTTTCAGGTTGCTAATGATGCTGTAGTGGCACTGGCTTTGAGACAAGGTTCTCTTTCTATTTATAATTCTTCACTTAAATTTGGATATATAGTTAGTCAAGCAATGCAACTTTCGACGTTGAGCCGGGGGTCTCTTTGGAAACAGCCTCCCTACTTTCGAGTAGGGGTAAGGTCTGCGTACACACACCCTCCCCAGACCCTACTCTTGTGGGATTTAACTGGGTTGTTGTTGTTGTATAGTATGTATTCACACGGTAGATATGAATTCACATACTCGGCAGTAAAGTTGGACTGTAGAAGCATGTTGGCGTAGTGGCAAGGAAGCCACCCTAAGCTTCTCCACATCCACAGTTCAAGCCCTGCCCATGCGCTTAAGAGGCTGAGATTATTAGATTGAACACATACTATACGGATGGGTATGGAAGTTACTAAAAAAATCAAGTTGGATTGGGCTAAGATGGATGATTGTATCCTTTTGTATGAATTGAAAGAATAAAATTGATCCAACATAGGGTAGGGGTAGAGGATAATTCTTAAACTATAGAGCTAGTAGTTGAGACTTGTTATAAATTTTAACACTTTCTACATGAAATAAGGAACAACTATAGGTAGATGGAATATGAACAACAAGAGGGTGTGAACTATGGAGTATGGAGTGATATGTTAAAGGGGAAGATAGGTGTGGCCCCGAGGGGAGGGAAGGGAAAGGAAAATGCTCCCCTCGGCCCTCCCCTCAATTGGTTCAAAACATTTGGACGGTGACAGAGCCATAAAAATTTTCTTCACCTCTTCCACCTTCCAAATGTTGAAGACTTGAAGGGGAGTGGAGCATTTTCCCTCCCTCCAACCAAACACACCCTTAAAAGTGGGAATAATAATAGCATCCCCCAGCTCACCATCTTGATTATTCATGAGCACCCTTCTTGATTTCAGGTGACAACGGATTTGAGGATGTGAATATCGGGAAACCAGAAGATTTTATGCCAACCTTGTGATCTAGACCGCAGTGCCAATTGGTGATGCAGGGCGAAGTGGAACCATCATTGCTTTCCCTAGTAACATATTTTCGCATGTATTTTGCAATAGCTGTTTTTAGTTTTATTAACCTCTTCACATTTTGTAATGTGGATCTTATTTGTGCTAGCTTTGTGGAAAGACTAGAAGTTGCCATTTTTACGCTCTTCTTGTTAGCTTGGGCAATCGCAGTGCATCCGACTAGGGTGTCTGCTCTAGACATTTTAAGTTACTCCATGGCCCTATTTGGTAACAACGTTAGAGGTTAGAAGTAGTATTTTGAAAAAGACTGGCCTTTTCAAAGCTAATCAAAACACTGTTATTCCCAAACAAGCCCTGAAAACACAATTATTCCCAAAAAGGGCCTATCTGTGACGGAAATGGAAGTTTCCCAAACATGGCAAATTCTCAAATGCAGTGTAGGAAATTATGGATATATTGCATAAACAATGAAATATTACTCCATATATGACTACATTTATTTATTTATTTTATTGAGTTTATTATTTCAGCTGCATGATTGAAACACTCAAATGGAAAAAAATTCATGACAAAATGGAACGTTTTTTGTCCTAGCAAAAACCAGGTGCATACTAGCCTTTCCCCTCCTACCACTCCACCATATTATACATTTGGCAAGAAATAATCACCTTAACAAAGAAAGAAGAGCGTTTCTTTGAAAAGTTTATAGTCCATCAAGTGGTTCAAGGAGAGTATGTCAAACTCGTTGATTTTAGAGCCGAATTCCGGTAGCGACAGACAGTGTGAGTGTTTTATTATTTGTAATAGCTCCTTGTGTGCATCGGGCACGAGACGACCTCTCTAAAGACTAGATTGAGATTATACCATGATTTACCTCATCATAATCTTGTCGGACCGGGGTGTGGTGGCGCCCTGAGTGGGCGTTCATTTTTTTTACAGCAGAATTTGTTGTCAATAACATGTCATAAAATGACAAATTCGATTGGAGCATTTACAGTTCTCTGTTTATAGGCTAATTCTATCTGAAAAGAGAAATGCTAGAGTCACAAACACTTCGGTCACAAAATACAAAATTTTGCCATTTGTACTCCTCCATAAATGAATAAAATGATGTTAAATAATTAAAAAGTAAACATTTAAATACACAAATGGTAAGTTTGTGTATTTTGTGACTGAAATGTTTGTGACTCCAGCATTTCTCATCTGAAAATGTTAGAGAGGCTCGCACTTTCTCAATGCATATCTAAGGCACTAGATTCTACATGCAGTGTCAATTTAGTATGTGTCTTGTTTTGATTTTATATAGTTAATCATTTTTAACATTTGATTTACAATTAAATAAAAATTATAAATTATAAAGTATAATGAATGGATAATGTGAGACTTATGAGTTATTACTAGAAAATGAAGGATACCGCAAAGTAATTTTTTGCTATACTATTGGTAAATTTTAGATCGGGTTAAATTTGAGTAGGCTTTGTGTGTAAGTTTTGAGTCGGGTTAGTGTCATGCCGGATTAAATTTTGATGGAATGGTTTTTGAGGTTTAGTTAAACAAACAAAAGCTAAAATTTGGATAAACTATTCATTTTGTTTCAATGATTTAAAGAATCGTTAAAAACATAATCCAAATCTGTTTTTAGTCTTATCATTATGACATTATGGTATACGAATAGGGAGCATTTCTTTTTTATCCAAACTTATACCCCGCTGTCCCATCGTATTTGTCGAGTTTCATTTTTTCGAGTCAACCGGACGAACGTTAATTATCAATATCTCTCAATCAATTTTTAGTACATATTAATACAATGAAATCAAATTTTGGAAGTTCACACCAAAATAAATTCAATGAAATCATGTTTATAGTAATATACATTACAATTTTTATTTAATTGAAATTTAAAATCCGTCAAGTTTGACTCATAAAAATCAAACTTGACTAATATACTTGAACGAAAATAGTATTTAACTTCAAATTTTGAAACACAGACAAGGTATAAATCATTTCGACCATAACAAATCATGTATTGAGTCTGAAGTCACTCCTTAAACTCTTCATTTCTGATTTTTTGAAATCAAATAGTCAACTTGAAAACTCAACCTGCCAAATGTTAACTTTAGCTTTTGACGGTCGAAATAGCCAAAATTAGTCAAATTAAACGACCAAAAATCTTAATGAAAAGTGAAAACCCAACTTTCAAACGCACCCAAAGTTTGATGCCTCTAATAACGTCAAGTTTATTCTAGTCTGATGCCTTATTATTGCCTTAATTAGTCCTATATACTTCCTTTATTCCATTAAAAATAAACCCAACTTTTTTATGATACATTAAAAATGAATGGATATAGCCATTAAGACTTTGTTTGGGAACAACGTTTTCGATTAATTTCGGCGTTTTGGATAAAATTTTAATGGTGTAGATTAATTCTGAAAACGCTAACGCTAAAGGCTACTGATGGATACCCTGGACAGGGGTATCCGCTCTTTGTATAATATTAGTTGGGGCGGTCCAGTCTGTTGGACCGGCCTGTTAGTTGTATGTTTATTTATTTAGGGGCGGCCCAGCCTGTTGGGCCGGCCCATTATTCCGAAACCCTAACCCTAACTCTCCCTATTTATACCCCTCTTCTAGGAAGAGGGAGAGGGAGGTGGAAAAAGGGGGGCTACATTATACTATTCATCATCTTCTTCATCTCTACATTTCCTCCTTTCTTCTACCCATGGGTTCCATAACCCAACAGCTACTGTCAGATAACCTTTTCAAAACGCTAACGCTAATCTCTAACGTTGATGTCAAATGAGATATAAATATATATACATTCATGCACTTTTAATATATCTAGATGTTACAACGGGCACTAAATACAAAATGAGTATATAGTTTTTGGGCTAAAAAATGTTAAACGGATCAATAGTAACTTTTTAGTATTAGAGGTATTCCAATAAAAAGATGAACTTCATCCTCAAGAATTCCTTCAGACCCGGCCTAACGGTCACAGGGAGATGAGTACTAGAGGCATTGCATGTACTATATATAACGGCCTTTCATTTTGTTCAAAATCCTTACTTTTGGACCTTAGTGTTTGTCTAAATAAATGCTCTCAACAGAGGCTTCATGTGCTATACTACTACTGGATATGACAAATAGATTAGGCAGTGTCATTATTAATTATGAACGGACTACTAGTTGGCCTTTTAATTAACACCATTATTTACCATATGTATATTACACGATGACATATATTTATGCACTGTACATATACATCACTTTTTCCTCAAAGTAATAGTGGAAGTCAATGGCCAAATTTATTAAAGATCCATTAATTTATTTAAATCAAGCAACTAACCACAATGATGAGTTGATGTCACCCAATTATTATTACTCAAACATGCCAAGTGTCATCATAGTAAGAAAGAAAAATGTCAACTATGATTCCCAAGGAAGAGAGAGTAGAGTTTTCTTTAGAGAATAAAAACCCAGGTTCGATTCCCCACACGTGACAATTCTTTTTGGGCTAGCTTCTTCGCCTCTCAGAATGAACCACGAATATACCCAATACACAAGAAGAACAGAAAATGACCCAGAGTGCATCTCGTGCACGCCCTCCAATGTATACATGTTGAATCAAGTGAGAATGTAATCTAATGAAAGAAATAAAAATGCATCTCGTGCATTAGATGTAAGACCTAATGACTTGAAAAACTCAATAAAAACTAAAAAAATCTGAAAAAACGCGGCCGCATTATGGTATATAAGTTGAACTTCACTCACAGTGCCGAAAATGCACTACTACAATGTAAACATGCATCGTGACAGTATAAAAATGCATCATTTTCACGATAAGTTCTATTCTCGTAATAAAGACCATTCTTACTTGAACCAACCCATATATATGTATACACACACAGTACAATCAACCCATGTCACACGAGCTTTAGGCCTGAGTTGGTAGAATGATCTTGACTTACAACAACAACAACAACAACAATACCAACAACAACAACACTGGGACAGATGAAATATCATATAAATATCAATTTTAATTTATAAAAAGTAATTGAATAATAATATTATGAGATTACTTGAATCACACGAGCTTACATTGAATAATAATATTATGAGATTACTTGGTAGAATGAGATTGATTTATAGCAACACCAACGGCGGACGAAGTAATTGACCTAAAATTGAAAATCTATTAGAATAATGTTAGAATTCCCATATTGGAATATAAAAAGATATACCACTAGCTAGCATATACACTACTACAAAAAATGGCAAAAACACTGCCCCAATTGCATCGCTGATATAAATAGCCGATGCAAAAGAACAAAGGCATCGGTTATTTTGTAAAAGCGATGCAATTGATATTTATCAAATATAATTTAAAAAATCAAAATATGTATTAGCATCGGTTATTTTGAAATAACCGATGCAATAATAGACCATTAGCATCGGTTATTAATAACAACCGATACTAATACATATTTTATATTTTTCGATTTTTTTTTAAAAATAAACAAACACATCGGTGTTTTACTAGAACCGATGCTAAAAGGAATTTTAAATTTTCGAAATTTTTAAAAACAACAAAGGCATCAGTTGTTTTCAAATGCATCACGATGTAATTTCAAAGATTACCCCAACCTATATATCAACCAAGACTATATGCTAATTAAATACATCAGTGTAGTGCGGTTTTTGATTTTGGGGTTGTGCCTTAGGCTCACTGCCTTTGGTTTGATGTATGTGCTTCGGGATGCTCGCTCTATAATGTTTTTTGCTTTAAGGTAATGAAGTTTAGATGTTATCCGTTAAAAGAACTATCGGCCTTGTGACCTTACTCCCCCAACCCATTAATTTTGATTTCTCATAAGGTTCTGACAAAATCTAAAAGCAGCATTCATCAATCCCTAGTTGGCATTATTTATGGTTGAGACTAGATAATATTCGATCATCTTATAGCCCCCAACTTTTAATCTTGTTAATGAAAAAAAATTAATTTTCCTAATGCTTTACCAGTTGTTTATCTTTCATATTTCTAAGAATTTCACCTTCGACTATGAAATACAAATGTCCCAATTGTCCATGTTAATCATTACTTTGATCGTGAAGGCCAACGTAATAAAATTGAAATCCTGTAATGTAATCTCATGTTAATGTATATAGAGCGTATGCTTGCTTTGAGCACTATCTTTAAAGTAACAACACTATAAGCACGATCAAGCCTATTAAAATCAAGAGCGTACCATTAACAATATAGACAAGTTCAACAATGCACACCATGAGCTGGCCGGGCGGACTGGCAAACTCGTCTTAAAGTCGAACTATGAGTTTTTAACTGAAACAACTTAAATATACGTTATTGGAACTAGAATTACCTCATTTGGGGTCAAATGTTTCTATTTGTTTGAACGTAGGTTTATCAAAATGAGCTACTCGTCTGTGGTTAGGTTGAGTTGGCTATAAGAGGTTCAAATACAAC